AGCACGCCGCCGAGCCCTAGCGGGTGCCGCCCCTCCCACCACCCGCCCTGCACAGAGTGTGCCCCACGGTCCGGCCCCAGGCTGACCCGTCGCCTCTCCCACCCTGCAGTCCTGGCCTCCGCTTCCCCAGCTTTGGCATCGGTGGTGGAGGGGAGCCCGGTGGCCTAGTGCTCCCAGACCCTGGCGCCTTCGCAGAGCTCTGAGGGTGGAGGAAGTCGTGGGGGTGGGGCGCCCGGGAAGGGCCAGGGCTCCAGCTCCCCGCTGTGTACACAGTCGTAATGACCCCACCCAGCGTGCTATGAGCAGTGGCGGGGTGTAGCATCCCGGGCATAGCACCCCACTCCTGGCCCTGGGAATAATTAAGCAACTTCTAAAGGGCTTGCAAGGAGCAAAGTAAACTGCGGAGGAAAAAGGGACTCATTATTTTGGCATTTCCAGCCGGCTGCTGGCTCCCAGGGGCGTGGTTTTCACTTGAGGTTAGGCGGAAATGTGGTCGAGGCCAGGCCCAAGAGTTGTTGGATGCAGGAAAACCGAATCTTTCTGAGCTGTGGTGGTGAGGGGCTGGGCTGAGCAGCAAACCTCAGCTCGAAGGGCCAGCCCTGCCCCCGTGCGGTTGGCTCTGGGCTGGTAGACGCGGCCTGCTCGATGGAGCTGACAGCTCTGGGCAGGCCCGCAGTCGTTCCTGTGAGGAGCAAAGCTCCCGGCACACCCAGGCCTGGCCTCGCTCCCCTCCTCAGCCACCCTCCCAAGTCCTGGGTGGGGTCCTTATGCCTGCACCCCAGCACTGGCTTCCGCCTCTGCCCCTGACGCACCAGCCATGAACCACCTGGACCTTTATTTTTTTTCCCCCCCGCCCCCGCCACACACACCGGTCAGAGTCCTACCCATAGTTTCGGCATCCTGCTATTTGCAGCTGGGAGAGACGTTCTCTGGGCCCCGGGGCAGGGGAGAGCTGGAAGACCCTCCTCGGCCTGTTCCCAGGCCTCCTGGGAGGCTCAGAGAGCAAGACTAGAGTGGAAGAGGAAGAGTGTGACCCAGCCTGGTTGGTGCTTACTCACCAGCAGGGCAGCTGGCAGGGGCAGAGGCTCCTGTGTCCCCCTCCAGGGCCACCAGTGCAGCAGCTGGCAGCCTGCGCCCTGGCTACGGGGTCAACGCACCTACCTGGGGACCACAGCTTTCCCTCACCCCATCTGACACCAGGGCCTTCACTCCTGCTTTGATCCCTGAGCCCCCCAAGCAGGCCTTCCTGCCATTGCCTGCTGACCCTGGGGTGTGCTGGGGCCCTCATCCCTCCCTGGGCCTGGTCTGGGCACACCTCCCTCTGCTGGTCAGACCAACCGCTGCGTGTCCACGGCCGCCCCGTGAGCAGGGCCTGCCACTCGCGTTTCCCCTGCTCTTTCCAGAGAACATTAAATTCAGAATTGCGTTTCCAGCACCCCGGCCTCGTCAGTCTGCTCACTGAACTGAATGCCCTCCTTTCCTCTGCCCCACCCCGACACCTAGCTCTCGCCGCTCGTGGGCCGTGGAGGCCCTCAGCTTCGTAGCTGGGGCTCAGGTGCCCAGTGAGCAGGTACCGGGCACAGCCGGCCACCCGGGCTGGGCGCTTGTGCTAGGGCAGGTCTGCTTGCTGTCCTGAGTGGGCCTGTGGCACCCCGGAGAAGCAGAAGCCACACAGCTGGTGCCTCGGCCTTGGCGTTACAGCCCGGACCACTGCAGGAGAGTCCCAGCGGCCGTGACGAACTGCCACAAACAGCAGACGTGTGTTCTCTCACAGTCCCAGGGGCCTGAAGTACAAAATCAGGTGTGAACAGGGCTGTGCTCCCTCCGAAGGCTCCAGGGGAGGGTCCTTCCTGCCCCTGGAGGCCCAGGTATTCCCTAGCGGGGGGCAGCAACGCCCCAGTCTCTGCCTCCACCCTCACACAGCGTTCTCCGCACGCCATGTCTCCCTCCCCCGTTTCCTATGAGAACACCAGTCTCGTTGGATTTAGGACCCACCCCAAATCCAGAAGGAGCTCCTTTTAAGAGTCTTAATTACATCTGCAAAAGCCCTATTCCTAAACAGGGCACATCTGCAAGTACTTTGGACAGGTGCAGCTCAACTTACTGCACTAACCTAAGGCTCGATACACTTGCCAAGAGCCCCTTCATGCCTGCGCGTCCAAGGACGGATATCCCTCTCCCCTGGCTGGCCCACTGGGTCAGCGTCTAGGTCCTTACCCAGCTGCCAGCCAGCAGGACAGATGCTGCCTTGCTCCCCTGCTGCCAGCGGGATGCCGGACAGCTGGTCTCCTTCCTTTGCCTGGTCCTGGGATGACCAGGACCATGCTTAGCCTCGGGATAGAGCCAGACTGGAGCAGGCGACATGGCAGTCTTATTCTCGGTGGGACAAAGAGCAGCCACCCGCTTCCCTCACAGGAAGAAGGCATGTGACAGTAGATGTGCTTTTCATGCAGCTGGAAGTGGGGCCCAGTGTGTTTCCTAAAGGGCTGAGAAGCAATGAGTCAGCTTCATCTCTGGGGACAGTCACATGGACAGTTTCACACTTGTCCCAATGCTGGTTGAGCCACCTAAGAAAGGGGGCAGTGCTGGCTCCAGAGCCTGCCCAGTGACCCTGTGGAAGTCCTGCACTCTTGGTGCTGTCCCCACCCACAGCCCATTCTTGCTGGTATTTATGCTCCACTCAGATATTTACCTTGCTCTGCAGAGCCTATGGCAGATCACACTCTTGGTGCTGAGGGCACAAAGAGGCACCACGAGGTGCCTGCCTTGCAGAGGACTTTGCTGGATCTTGGATACAGTGTGGCACGGATGCCAGCCTCAGAATAGCATGCTTGGTACTGGGTTATCTGGTCCATCTGATGCCCTCCCCAAACAGTTTATTCATTTGGGTTCTTTTCCTGTTTTCTATCCCTAGCCAGTCATAAACTGCTAACTATCTGTGGGAAAGACATGAAAATTCGGTTGCAATACAAATATTAGTGCTTCAGTAAACGGACTTAGAAATAGCTGATGACTCAGCCAGAGGAAGGAGTTACTTACTTAGAACTTTCAAGAGTCTCCATAGCCAAAGATGGGGGTGAGGAGCGTACTCCCATCCTAGTTCTCAAGGTTAATCTTCTGTGTGGTTTGCCATGGGAACACAAGACACAATAGCAAGCTCATGTTATTGAGCCACAGTAACTGGGATAAAATGAGACATTCTTGCTCGGAGTGTGAGAAAAGAAAACAAAACCAAACCCACAGCAAATAGAAAGTTACAGAAAATAATACATAAAACAAACTACATCCACAGGCAAAAGAAAGGAATTGGGTCCCTACCTCACACCATATACAAAACAAACTCAAAATGGATCAAAGGTCTAAATATAAGAGTTAGGGCCAGTAGATGGCATAGCAGTGATGTTGCTAGAATCCTACATGGCTGACTATGGTTTAAGTCCTGGACCTGGTGGCTTCAAACTCACACCAGGGGTGTGTGCATGCAAGCCCAAGATCCCGGGAAGAGAACGGAGGAGAAGGGATTGCAGTGTGGCCATCCCTGCTCAGGGAGAGGTGTAATTTCTCACTTTCCCTCTCATTGTATCTGTCTATCTTTCATTCTTTGATGAGCATATGTACCCTGAGGCCAAAAATTAAAACCTCTAAATATAAAAATAAAAATAAATAACTGTAAGAGCTAAAACTACTAAATTCTTAGAAGAAATCCTAAGTATAAATCCTTATGACTTTGGATTTGGCAATGTATTCTTGTTATGACACCAAAAGCACACACACTAAAAGGAAAAACATCAATAAATTGGATGTCATCAAAATTTAAACCTCTGGATTTTTAAAAAAGATTTATTTATTTAAATTTTTATTTATTATCATTATTCCTCAATTTTAACCAGAGAGACAGAGTGAGTGAGAAAGCAAACTGCCAGGTTCAGGACTTGAACCATGGTTAGCCATGTGTAAGTCCAATTTCTCAACCACCACATCACCTGCTGGCCTATAAATCTCTGGGTTTTAAAAGCCACAGTCAAGAAATTGGAAGCTGATCATAGTTGTTAAGGCCGCTGGAACCCACATGGCTCACATCACTGTTCAAGTTCTGGACCTGATGGTTTGAGAAATATCTGGGTGCATGCATATGCGTGCCCAAAATCCCAAAAGGAGGGAGAAACGGAGGAGAAGGGATTGCTGTGTGACCATCCCCCGTAGGGTGTGTTTTCTCACTTTACTTCTCCCTCTCTCTCTTTCTGGCAAGTGCATGTGCCCTCTGGCAAAAGAAAAAAGAAAAAGAAAAAACGGGGGACAACTCGCAAAATGGGAGAAAATATTTGCAAACCATAAATCTCATAAGGAACTTATATTTAGGTTCTATTAAGAACTCTTGCAACTCAAAAAGGCCAATAATTCAATGAAAAATGAGCAAAGCATCTGAATAAACATCTCTCTGAAGGAGATACCCAAATAGTCAATGCATGTATGAACACCACTAGCCATCAGGGAAATGTGAGTCCAAACCATAGTGAGATACAACTTCACAACCAATGAGAAGGCTATAATCAAGAAGACATAATCAGGAGTGTTGGTGAGGATGTGGAGAAACTGGAGCCTCTTGTTCTATGGTCAGGAACATAAAGTAGTGTTCCCCCTTTGGAGACCCATCTGGCAACTCCTCAGAAGATTAAACACAGAACTGTAACCGGCCCAGCGATTCTACTTCTAGGTATGTACCCAAAAGAAGTGAAAGTGGATATCTATGCCAGAGCCTGCTGATGGGTGTCCATTGCAGCCTTATTCTTAACAGCAGAAATGTGGGTGCAACTCCAGTGTACATCAGCTGGTGAGGGGATTGTGATGGAATGTTATTCAGCAACAAAAGGGATGAAAATTCTGACACATGCCACAACACGGACAAACTCAAAAACATTACCCTAAGCGAAAGAAGTCAGACTAAAGGATCACACGTGGTATGATTCCACTTACATGCTATGTCCAGAATAGGGAAATCCATAGAGACAGGAAGTTAAGTTGGGAGCTTCTAGTGGCGGGGTGTGGGGAGAATGGGGAAAATGAGGAGTGATTGCTAATAGTAAATGCTAATCAATTTATGAATGGCTACTTACGACTCTTCTGACCAGCAGAGAGTCACCTGAAGCGCACATGGAATACCACAGAGATCTAAGTCGAGAAGGAGAGCGAGAGGCCGTACGAGGGATGCGCCTGCTGAGCCTCTTTTGTCCTTCGTATTTATTAGGGCAAAGGAGGAAGGAAAGTCATTTTTAGAGAAAATTGTCTTTTAGAGAACTGGAACAATAAGGGGATTTCCTGGAACAGGTTGGAATCGGTATCAATTAGGGGGCTATGGCTAAATGACGCCAGAGACTGGCCAGAACACCTGAGAATTTGGAAAACACATTTGTCAGATCACACACCCATCAAATGACCTCCTGTTGTTTGCAGACAGGAAGGCCGCATTCCCTAGCATGCATGCACTCATTCACTCAGAGTTCATAGATCCACAGTATTCTAGAAGCATGGCATTTCTGTGGGTCTCTAGCAGCTAATGATAAAAATGTTCAAAATTAATTGATGTGAAAGTTGCACACCTCTGTGACTATGCTAAAGCCATTGAGCTGTACTCTTTAAATGAATGAATTGCATAACATGTAAACATATCTCCAATAAAGCCATTGAAACAAACACATACACACAAAGAAAGTGCCAGGTTGTCTTGCCCCTGTTTGACGAGGGCCAGGAGATCCTGGCACTCTGGAGTGGTGACCTTCTGAGTCAATCCCATTATACTGGTCCTGGCTTATGATGGGGCCAAGGGCAGGGGCCAGTGAGGAGGGGTGTGGGTGTCAGGGATAGTTCGTCCAAGAACATTGTTCAACAAGCATTTTCAAGTCAAATGATGGGTGAGATCACTCAAATGCAAGAGGCCAATTCAGGTGCCAGGGAAGCACTCCAGAAGGAGTGACTAACTGAGGACCCTGCTTCCCTCGCTGAAGTCCCCGCTCAGCCAGAGGAGCGACTGGGAAGGCACCGCGACCTCAAGTGCCCCTGCCTCTGTTGGCCCCAGTATCCGACCCCTCCTAGGGCGGGATGGAGCACAGCCCATTTCTTGCTTTGCAGATGGCCAGGCGAGGATGACCGTGTCCACTTCAGAGACTTGGACAAATAGGATTAGAAGCCCACATGTCCTGGGTGATTGGGAAACTTCTTTGCTATAAGACAGAAAACGTTCCAATTGTTCAATTGAGATAGCTCCTAAGTCAGTTGCCCAAGCAACTTGTAATACTACTTACTAAAGATGTTCAGGGGCTAGGCCAGCAGGTGGCATGGTGGGTAAGGCACTGGGCACCGACTTGGCCAAACACAGTTCAAGTCCCAGACCTGACAACTTGCTTTCTCACTTTCCCTCTCTCTCTCTCTGTGGTAAAA